TTTTAATGTGAGAGACCTAGCAACTGAAATTACATTCTCTGTGTTTAACACCAATCAAATAACTCTTCTAGTTGTTTGATGTGATTATACTGTAGGTGGGAGCTGCAGCTGATTGGTGAGCAGCTTTTCTAACTTGCCTCTCGTGTTGCTGTATTACAGACAGCTGTCGACAGAGCAAGCTGTGCTGCAGGAATCCCTTCAGAAGGAGTCCAAGGTGAACAAGCGTTTGTCGATGGAGAACGAGGAGCTGATGTGGAAGCTACACAACGGAGACCTGAGTAGTCCCCGCAAGGTGTCCCCCACCTCCACGTCCCCCTCCCATTCTTTCAGCTTCCAATCACCTCGCAGCTCCGGCCTGTTCTCCAGCCCTCCTGTGTCGCCCAGATAACGATGGGCCCCTGCTTCCAGAAAGCAGACCCTCTCTTTTGAGTTATCCCCCTGGAATTAAGAGCCATGTTTGTTTCCTCTTCGCTTAGCAACATGACAGCCTGACCTTGGCTCTTTCAGGATTGGATGAACTTTGACACTTTCTGTATAAAGATGCTATAGACTGTAAAAGTTAAAAAAAAAAAAAAAAGGTTGCACAGATGCACTTAATAAGCAAGGTCACCTTGTTCTTTGCCTTTCACGTCTGATAGTATGGATGGAGAAAAAGGAAATCTCAGGACTTCTATGTAATGAAACACTATTTTTGTTACTTGTACTTGTCGGCAGAGGCTTGTCCTTCCTGAAGCTCAACACACGCACACACAGTACATGCAGTAAACAAAAACAAAAAAAAACACATACATGCATGCATATGTTGGCACATGTGCAGAACACAATAACCCTGCTGTGCGAGAGAGGGCTTCTTTCTGTCTCTGGAGGCCACAGCCATGGAAAGTTTGAATTCAGAATGGTTATGAATACAGATTACACTGTCCCTCCTCAAAGCGCATTTTATTTGAAAAAAATGTGTATGAAATAAGGAATTGCTTCAGTACATGTCTCTCAGCTAACTGCACAAGAGTTAGTCATATTGCCATAGTATTCACATCTGGCTGTACAAGTCTCAATTCATGTTCAGAATTTCTTTGAGGTTAAGTTTTTTGTTTTTTTTTAAGTTGGGATTGTTGGTAGTTTCATCTGTGGCCTACAACATGTTTTGTTTTTTATGTTTGTTAGTTTGACCATGGGACCAATCCAAGTCTTTGTGCACGTGTTTGAGTCTTGTTAATCACCCCCATACTGAACCCTCCCAATGCAGCTTTAAAGTTCGGGGTCTTTGCAAAGAGTTGACCAGAAGAAGCTTTACAGTACTTGTACATGTCAGAGACAATCTGTCTCCAAGAGTATTTTGTGTGGAATTGTTATTATTGGTGTGTTGGACCCCGTTTGAAAATATGCAATTAATAAAGTATTGTATTAAAGCTGGTGTATCTGTATGATTATGAACATCTACACATAATGATTAGGTTGCAGCAGGTGGATCTCAACTTATGGTTACCTTAAGAGCTTTATCATTGGACAGTTTTCACCACCACTGGAAAACTTGTACTCAGCAGGTATCAGTCCAGCCTTGTGAATGTTTGTGTTTGTGTTGAATGTTTACACAAACATCCATAACCTAAATTAAAGTATATTCCAAAATCATAACAACCAGCAACTATTTAGCTAAGTGGAAACTGCAGCAAGTGTTGCATTGGACCACAATAAGTTCTGGGCCTGCAGATCACATTCCACATACGGAGTGCATTAGGACGTCAGCCTGGCACATAGCTCAGCTTTAAACCAGATTCTCCTCTTCACAACATGCTACAAAGCCAAAGCAAGGCTGCTGCTCTCTTTTCCAGCATCATTATTTAATTTAAATGTAGCATAAAGGCTAACTGTGATTAGTCAGCGATGTTTGATTTTGTGTCCAACACAAGCGAGTGCCAGGGGTAACAGCATTCGGGTGTTGTTTCTGTCATAGAGGACTTCAGGACTCCACTACCCAGAACAATTTAGGTGTATTCAAAGCTCAGTATTGGATAAATGTAGCAGTCAATTTAAGCTTTCTCTTTGGCATCCTTGCAATCTATATCGAACCCACACTCGTCTCACGAAGCATGTTATGAAACAGTTTTGGCTTTTGTCTGATCAGTGTTCCTGGAGATGTTCAGTTGATCTGAGCTCTGGCAACTGGAGGAAAAACCCCTGCAGGTCAGCAGACCTTGTTCTTTTTTTGATTGATTTTTTTTTTTTTGGATAGTTTGGATTCATATTAAGACTCACTGTCCTGCTCCAAAATGAATACTCTCCTCACAGCTTTAAGTCAGGAGAAGTAAGCCTCTGCACAATTAGAGCACTGTTTAGTAAACAGTGACTTAAAAAAACTTCAAAGATAAGTGAAACATCCCGACTACTTTTGGGTCCACGTTTGTGGCAGCCATGTAAGATTATCTAAACTCTCCAGCTGCAAACATATTATAAAAAAAAAAAAAAAAAAAAGGTTCATGTTTTAAAATATGAATCAACAAAAGATGTAGCAAATCTTTAATATGTTACCACAAACTGCAATCTAAAAATACACCCATTTTTATGTATATACACGTCGATATCATCTGGTTTCACTGGTTGGTGAGTTACAAACAGAACTGGGGCTACTTGGAGATGATGCTGGTTGTCACAATCGTCTCACCGTGCTGGTTCTTGGCTTTACAGATGTACTTTCCAAAGTCGATGGTCTCCATGTCTTCCACAGTCAAGATGCTCTGGGAGACCCGTGTGGTGTGTCCCATACCTCTGTTAACCAGCCTCCAGGAAGCGTGGATGTGAACTGGACGGTGGTCCTACGCAATAAAACAAGCATGACTTGTTACCATTGTATTATTTATTGGTGACGATCAGGGCAGGTAAACTGGAGGTTTGGACACAATTCACATGACTGAATAGAGTCACAAATTTGATTTGTTAATGATCCTTTACATTATTTTATAATTTAAAACTCTACTTTTTAGAAATATATTAATTTAAAGGTAAATTAATTACACACTACATGTATTTCCTGTCAGAATACTATGTGTAGAAAAACCTTTGGGAAAAGATTCTTGTCCTGAACCAGGTTTTACTTTAGATTTAAAGCCAAGGATTCTTATTACCTGACCTGGATAAGACCAGGTGAAGCTCACGTCCACCTCTGGCTCCCCCAGCACTGTGCAGGTCACATTGACGTTGTCGCCTCCTCTCACAGACTCTGGAGAGGCTTCAAGGCTCACAAATGGCGCTCCACTAGGAACTGTCAACAAGACAGTAAACAACATTGATTACTAAATATGTAATCATGTCCGCCTGTCCACACTGACTCTAGGAAGAAATCACTATATTGATTCCTAAGTGGTTTATGTACAAATGTATGACATTTATTGATGAAAGTTTAGTGGCATCTAAGCCTTTAAACCTCCATCACCAGCAGGGTTATTGCTGTTAACATAAAACATTGAAATACAAATAAAAACTGTAATTAAGACTAATTGTAATGATATTGTGTCTATAAAAAAATAAAAATTAAGTAAAAAATGTCTTAGTCAATTTAGTCACATTTGTCAACATAAAATAAATTGTGTTGTAATGACTGTTCTGAACTTCTAAACTAAAATTAACATTTTTAAACAATAAATACTTAAGTAAAATTAATAAACCCACTCTGCAAACTAACAAAATTGAATTAAAAACAAATAGAAATAAAAGCTAATGAAAACTCTATTAACTCTGATCACCAGTCTAAACTCTATTACTCTCCGTCTGCCAGTCAAACATGCCATGGGAGCTTAATTTTACCTAAACCACACACAATTTCCACTTCATCAATCCAGACTGTGTTTCCATTTAAGCTGGCAAGCGTCCACATGAACCAAACTCAGCAGTGAGGAGGCTTTTGAAAACCTTTTCCTGGAAGCTGATGAAGCAATGTAACCAGCACTTGATTCATGACTTTGTGGAAACGCCTCTCGCTGTGGTTCTTGGCACTTTTAATCAATAAGTACCAAGCACGATGGTTAAGTTTGAGAGTAAAAAGCAACAGGAAAAGGTTTCCTGATCCTGCACTTGGAGCTGCATCACTATATGTTACTATATGTTGAAGTGCTGTGCGATTGCTGCATCTTACCTACCCTCCACATAAAGCAGCTGGTACTTCGTGGAGATCTGAGGGGTGCCCTTGGTCACAGCCTTGCAGTAGAAGACCCCCTGAAGCTCTGGGCCAGGGCTCTGCAGGACAAACCCTTTGGTAGGGTCATAGGTAACCTGTGTCCCATTGGCTGTGATCTCCTCTGGAGGGACCTCTCTGTGCAGGGACACCTTGGCCTGTGGGTCAGTCACGCGGCAGGGAACTACAGCAGACCTGTCCGGACGCAGGTACACGATCTCAAAGTGGATGGCAGATGGGACGAAGAGGTTGTCTTTGTCTGTTGGGGACAGATGTTTGGCATCAGACAGTCAGTTTGTTTTCGCTGCAAATAAGGTGCACATGTCAACCCGCTGCCCTGCATGTTTTAGACTTTTCCCTGCTCTATCACACCTGATTCAAATGATCTGCACAGCACAGCGCTCTGCAGAAGCCTGATAACAACCCATTCATATGAATCAGGTGTGCTGGAAGAGGGAGACAGCAGGGGCATGTCCAGACAAATATTCAGACCTTAAGGGGTAGCATAAATATTTGCTGATATAATTGCAAAAAACTCAGATAAGCCCCCAAATGATAGATATTTTAACTCAGAAACATTACTTTATAGTTGCACATTAGTGAAACATTGAATAGAAATATTTAAAGGTGGCATTAGAAATTTATTTCCACATCTTCAGACATTAAGTATATCACTTAGTCCAAAAATGTGGCCATAACAGATCAGATTATGTGTGTTAATTTCAATTTCCATTTTTTAACAAGTTATTTTTATTAATTAATCTAAACTATTGTGTTAAATTTTACAGAATTTTCCACCAAACT